ATTTCCTGAAAATAGAAAAAGGCATTAAATTGATGCTAGCACCTAAATCACATAAAACTCGATCAAAGGTAATGTCTCCTATAATGCATAGAATAGTAAAACTCCCTGAATTTTTGAGTTTCGGGGGTAGGTTCTTCTGGAGAATGGCGCTGTACTCCTCCGTGAGCATCATTGTTTCCTCATATTCCAACTTCCTTTTGTTTGATAAAATTTCCTTGAGAAATTTCGCGTAGCTTGGCATCTGTTGCAATGCATCTGCAAAAGGAATGTTAATATGCAGTTTTTTAAATACATCAAGAAATTTAATGAACTGTTTATCCTGTTTCTCTTTTATGAGCCTCTGAGGAAAAGGCACGGGAGGAGTGTGATGTGCCAACTTTGGTGGTATTTTGGGAAATGGAAATTTCTCTTTCCTTTTTCTTTGCCTTACTTCCCGTTTTTGTTCTTCTTCCCTAGAACTGGATGGTTTCTCTTCAGCAACTATCTCTTCATCAACTTCCTCATCAGAGTCTTCCTTTTCCTTTCCCTTTTATGGACTTTCTTCTTCCCTTGATTTTTCCACCTCTTCCAACACTGTCCCACTTATCAAAGTTATTGCATTCACTTGCTCTCGCGGGTTAGTCACTGTGTTGCTTGGTAGGGACCCCTGTGGTCTCTCATTTAGCATTTCAGCCAATTGACCCACAAGTACTCCAAGTTCCGAATGGACGCCCCTTGATTTATGAAATTCGTTCTCGTGTCATTCATAAAACTTGTGGTCTCTTGCATAAACTTTCCAAACATGTTCTCCAATTTTGTCAATCTTTGCTCTCCTAATTGATTGTTCACCCCTGTTTGGTTGTTTGGCAATGCTCTTTGGTTCCATTGATTGTTTTGCTGATTCTGTTGATTTTGATTACCCCAAGACAAGTTTGGATTATTCCTCTAACCAGGATTATATGTGTTGGAGTACGGATTGTTCGGTTGCCTTTGATTTCCTGCCAAGTAGTTAACCTGCTCCAATGATGATGATGCTAAAGCAAATGTGTTCCCCACTTGACATTCGCTGCTCACGTGATTACCTGCACAAAATTCACAAGTTAGTTGAGGTGCTTGAATGGAATTTACCTGCATACTTCCCAACTATTTCTGAAGTGCTGTCAGTTGGGTTGAAATGGCTATATATGCATCAACTTCATGAAGGCCCATAGATTTCTTCGGTTGCACCCTCTCATTAGGTCTTTGATAATTGTTGCTTGCCAGAACTTCAAGCAACTCGTGAGCTTCTTTCGGAGTCTTATTTTGCAGTGCTCCACCCAATGCTGTATCCCCCATAGTTTGCACATTCACCATCAATCTGTTATAAAATGTTTGAACTTGCATCCAAACTGGCAACCCATGATGTGGACACCTCTTCAGTAATTCTTTGTATCTCTCCCAAGCCTCATACAATGATTCTGACTCTTCCTGTAGAAACGATGTGATATCATTTCTCAGCTTTGTTGACTTGGCTGGAGGAAAGAATTTGGTCAAGAACTTCTGTGCTAAATCATTCCATGTTTTGATCGTCCCTAATGGTAGTGCCATTAACCATCTGATGCTTGCAAATGCAACATCTAATTTTACCTCACTAAATTCTAATGCAAAGTCGTGTAGTAGCAAAGGGCAAGTAAGGTTCTTTCCTGTAGAGGATTTGTGAACTCAATTAATTATCTACTTCAAACGGGGTTTGTCACGAATTATAAAAACTCAACAAAAACTATCAAGCTAAAATTAAACAAAGTAAAACAATGAAACAATCACGAAAGAGATAAATAAGAGAAACTAGATTGAAGGTTTATTCGCCACCACTAGACATGAATTACATATAATAAAAGCACTCTTTAACTTCTACTCTCTTAATCACATCAGCTCAGAAAATACAAAACGTTGATAAGTTCTATCTCTCCTTACTGAGTCGTTGGATTAGACACGGTCATAACCCGGTTCCCTATTTATTAGATAACCTAGGATACGATCTCTAGATTCAAAGTAATAAAAGCATTAAGTTGCGAGAGACCTACTGAATCAAGGCTAAACTCATATGGTCGGTTTAGTTATCTTGAGTGATTACCCCCCATGTATGCAGGCATACACTTTACCACTAGTTATTTAGGTTAATAAAGCGATTCCGTACTAAACAACCTAAATTGGCATTAATAAATTAATCCTAACTATTTAATTGCGCACTTAAACAATTAAGACAATTTATCTAAACCCTATTCACAGAGAAATAATCACATAACCAAGAGGGATCAAAAGATAAATAGATGCAGATTTTATTAATCACAAGACATGTCTAGGGTCTTGAAATCACCCTCAATCACAAAAGAATTAGTTCTTCATGAATAAATATGAGAACATCATTGTATTATTCATAACAAATAATAATAACAAAGAAGAAGAAAAACTTAGTGAAACTTGGTTGGATTAATGAAGTTGATGATGATCTCCTCCAATTATTCTTCTCCAAGCCTTCTTTAATCTCCCTTTTTCTTCAGTTCTTGAATATCTTTGTTCTCTCTTTTTTTATCTCTCAAAGAATTCCCTAAAATAATGCTAAAAGACTTCTATTTATATCCCACAAGGGTTAGGGTTTTGTTTTCCTTAATTGTAGTTAGTTTAGGACTCTTAAAATCCTATTTTCCTAGTCAAAATAGAGGAAAAGTTCCCAGCTGTCGTGACTGTGCCGTGGCAGTTTAGGACTCTTAAAACCCTATTTTCCTAGTAAAAAATGGAGGAAAAGTTCCCAGCTGTCGTGACTGTGCCACGGCACTGTGCTGCAGCACGGTAGCTACTGGAAAGTGCCACGGCAGATTAGCTACAGGTCTTCTTCCCGCATCATTTCACTGTTCTTCAGAGATGATGATTTTTGAACTTGATAGCGATGAAATTTGGAAAGGTGGTAAACATGTGCAATGTAATACTTTGAATCATCTTTCTAAAGATCCAAGAATTGTCTTAATAAGAGTTCTACAGATCAAGATATTCTCAAAATACTGAGGCATGCTCAAGCTGGAACGTAATCTAGAATCTTCTCTTTACTTCAACTTCCATAACTTCTTCAATTCAACTCCGATTCTCAATCTATTTGTTTCCAGTCGTTACAAATTCTCTCGCCAACATCATCTCTCATCTGAATATTATTTTTGAGTCTTATTCCCTGAAAACACAACAAAAATACCCGTGATCCCGAAAAGTGCGTTTATGAAACAATTAAGTTAATTCTTGCGAATTAATCCTAATTTCCCACAAATGATACCTATAAACCACTAAGTATAAGTGTATTTTCAAGCACTTATCACAACCCTCAACTAGCTTCTTACTAGTCCCTAGCAAGCTAAGCGATAAAAATATGTCTTCTAGCTTGAAAATTAAAATAAAATAAACATAAATCTAATCTACCCCAAATCACTTCCGTAGATTGTCACGGTTACATTTAGCATATGCAATAAGCCTTTAAACTGCTAGGTGGCCCTAGTTGGACGAGTTGTAGTCTCGTGAGGGTTTCCAACGATGATACCCACAAACATCCATACTAAACCTAACCTAGACTCGAAAATTAAAAACAAACAAACAAAACATTAGTCTCCGGATATACATTCGTCTCAAAAATTGCATACAACACATAACATAAAGAATAGTTAAACATCACCCAAGCCCAAAGGTAACTCAAAAATCAATTTCATTTTCATGATCAACTCTCACACATCAATCATTCCACAAACCCGTTAATCTCAAAACCCGGATGATCACATGCACGAACTTCACAAACAAAGAATTGATCTCAAAATTTTTAAAAAATATAATATAATGTATAGAATCAATTTCCATAGGCTCACTTTTCAAACTACTCTCCACTAATGTAGAATGATCACACTACCTAGGATCAATAGGTCTTTATTAAGCTTGTTATGTTGGCTAAGTTATAAGGTTATGAAAGAACGGAAAAGATAAGCAAAAATAAGAGACTCGATCCTATTTCTTTCAAACACTTTCATTCAAGCACCACCATTCTTCTTTACACCCTACTTTTTCCACCCTTTATCAAAATAATTTAATTGCATCATTTATACTTTGCAATGTTTCTCAATAAATTTCCTTTTTTCTTTCTTTCTTTCTTCTCTATTTTTGTTTTCTTCTTTTTTTTCTTTCAATTTTTTTTTTTTCAGAAGAAAGAAAAGAAAGCTAAAAATGCTACCCCAACTCTTGATTAAAAAGCACTCCACAAACCCCAACCTATTCTTTTGAGCACATTTGGAATAAATTGACAATTTTCACAAACCTTCACCCTCACTTCTTTAATTGCTCTCACCAATCTTGTACTTAGATTAAGTCTCTTAAAAATCAAAGGGTAGGAATGTGTTTTTGGCTCAAAATAATGGTGAGTTAATAGGTTACATGAAAGAAAATCAAGGCTAAATGTGTTTAATAGTGGCTCAAAGGGCTAACTAGCAATAATTTGAATAAAGGGTTGGCTTGAAAGGCTCAAACGATCCAAAGATAGCCTAAATCACGTCCTAAGCAATGTTCATTCTAGGATTTCGCCTCAAGTAGTTATCAAGTGAGTTCTAGAATTTGTTGAGATCGCAAAAATGTCTATAAAAATTCATACATAACAAACATCACTAAGCCTTAAGACTAACTAACCAAATCATACCACATGGCATGAGAGTCTCAAACTAGATGAAACTAATTATTCATAATTACCCCTAAACCTAAGCAACAAATAAAATCGGATTTTGGGGCATTTGATTTCTTGGGCCTAAATTACCCAAGCGTTGACATCTATTACATGTTTTGCAAAAACAATATGCGTCTTTAAAGAGTGTAGGCCTATAGAATCCACTCTCAAGAACCTTGAGAGTTGTCCTCTTTGCTCCGAAGTGTCCTCCACATGCATAGGAATGGCAAAAAGTTAAAATTGAATTAAATTCACTTTCGGAAAAGCACCTTCTTATGATTTGGCCGGGGCAATATTTCTAAAGATATGGATCATCCCACACATATTGCTTGGTGATCTTCTTCAGTTTGTCCTTGCTAGCAAGCGACATGTTGGGTGGGGTTCCCTTGGTTATTATGTAATTTACTATATCTGCATACCATGGTCCCGAGGATGTCATTGCAAGTAATTGTTTGTCCAGAAAATCATCTTTCAATGGAAGAGCATCTTCTTGGTTTATCAACCTACTTAAATGGTTTGCTACAACATTCTCACTCCCTCTTGTGTCTTTGATTATTTGATTGAACTCTTGTAGCAATAGAATCCACATTATAAGCCTTAGCTTAGCCTCCTTCTTCGTAAGCAAATACCTAAGAGCTGCATGGTCAGAAAAAAACAGTAACTTTAGTGCCAATTAGATAGGAACGAAACTTTTCTAGTGCAAAAATAACTTCCAAAAGTTCTTTCTCAGTTGTGGAGTAGTTAGGTTGAGCATCATTCAATGTTCTTGAAGCATAATAAATGGCATGTGGTAACTTTCCAACTCGTTGTCCTAACACGGCTCCCATGGCATAATCGCTTGTATCGCACATCAACTTGAATGTAAGACTCCATTCGGGAGGCTGAATAATTGGGGCTGTGGTTAGGAGTTCCTTTAGTTTCTCAAACGTCTTTATACACTCTTCATTAAACTCAAACGCTACCTCTTTTTGTAACAAACAGCATAAAAGCATTGCGATCTTGGAGAAATCCTTGATAAATCTCTAATAAAATCCTGCATGTCCAAGAAAAGAACGTACCTCTCTCACACAAATGGGAGGTGGTAAGGAACGTACAAGATCTATTTTAGCTTTATCAACTTCAATCCCCCTAGATGAGATAATATGCCCTGAAACTATCCCTTGATTTACCATAAAATGGCATTTTTCCCAATTTAAAACGAGATTAGTTTCTATGCATCTTTTAAGAACTAATGTCAAATTACCCAAACAATTATCAAATGAGTTCCCATAGACACTAAAATCATCCATAAATACCTCTATAATGTTCTCTATGTAATTGGAGAAAATACTTACCATGCACCTTTGAAAGGTGGCGGGTGCATTACAAAGGCCAAATGGCATGCATCGATAAGCAAAAGTGCCAAAGGGGCATGTAAATGTCGTCTTCTTTTGATCTTCCGGTGCAATCACAATTTGATTATAACCTGAAAATCCATCAAGAAAACAATAGTGAGAATGGCCCGCTAAATGTTCAAGCATTTGATCGATAAATGGAAGAGGAAAATGATCTTTGCGCGTTGTGGCATTGAGCTTGCCGTAGTCTATGCACACTCGCCATCTCGTTTGAATGCGAGTGGGAACTAAGTCATTATCTTCATTCTTTACCACGGTTATTCCGATTTTCTTAGGAACTACTTGGACTAGACTAACCCATTTACTATCCGAAATTGGGTAGATCACACCAACATCTAACAACTTGATTATTTCCTTCTTCACTACTTCCATCATTGGTGGATTCAATCGTCTTTGTGCTTCTCTTGTAGGCTTCGATCCTTCCTCTAATAATATGCGGTGCATGCACATGGAAGGACTTATTCCTTTAATGTTAGTAATAGTCCAACCAATTGTCGTTTTGTACTCTCTCAACACACGAACAAGTTTCTCTTCTTGCACCTTTGAAAGGTTGGCCGCTACAATCACGGGCAATGTGTCTCCTTCTCCCAAGTATAAATACTTGAGATGACTTGGTAAAGGCTTAAGCTCCAAGGTTGGGGCCTGCACAATGGAAGGTAAAAGTTTCTCATTAGATATGGGAAGAGAAATATAGGAGATTTTATACCTTGGATTTTGCTTTGGAAGCTCATCCAACATTGCTATAGTTTCATTTAGCTCTTCCCCTAACTCTACGACTTCATTAAAATTTTGAGGTTCCTCGGTTGACAACCCATTCCATATTGCCACTTCCAATGGATCTTTACCCTTAAGCTTGAACATTTGCTGCGTTAAAGAGTCAAGTACATCAATGGAAAAGCAATCATCATCATTAGGATACCTCATTGCATCAAAGATGTTCAATTGAATGACTTCCCCATCAAACTCCATTGTCAATGTCCTATTATGCACATCTATTTTCGTACGGGCTGTTTTCACGAATGGTCTCCCCAAAAGCAATGGCATGCTCTTCACAATTTTTTCATCTTTCATGTCAAGCACGTAGAAATCCACTGGAAAAACAAGCTTGTTTACCTGCACCAAAACATCTTCCACAACTCCTTTTGGATAGGCATTAGATCGATCAGCGAGTTGAATGACTACACCGATCTCTTTAAGAATACCAAGATTTAAATCAAGATAAATTGAGTAAGGCATGACATTAATAGAAGCACCTAAGTCTAACATTGCTTTCTCAAACCTTGTGTTGCCTATGACGCATGGCATGGTGAAACTACCCGGATCTTTGCACTTTGTTGGAAGCTTCCTTTGCAAAACCGCTGAGACATTTTCTCCCATGCTCACCACCTCATTTCCCTTAATTTTTCTCTTGTTGGTGCATAATTCTTTAAGAAATTTCGCATAACGCGGCACTTGCTTTATTGCATCCAACAAAGGAATATTGACATGTACTTTTCTAAAAGTGTCCAAAATTTCTTGTTCATGTTCCTCCTTCTTTGATGTGGCACACCTGCTAGGAAAAGGCAAAGGAGGTTCACAAGTATTAATAGGAACTTTAGATTGTACTTTAGGTGGATGTTTTGGATTGGAAGAATCGGTTGGCAAATTTTTTGCACTTTTAGGCTGTTTTGTTCCATCTTGAATCAACTCATCTCCAACTTCTTTCTCATCATTTGGCTTCTTGTGAGTCTTCTCAAGTTGTCTACCACTTCTCAAAGTAATGGCACTAGCATTCTCCCTAGGGTTAACCAAAGGTTGGGAAGGAAGCTTTCCGGACCCATGCGCCTCTACTCTTCCAAGAGTAGGAGCCAATTGACTAACTTGGCTTTCCAAATTCTTGATTGAAATTTTTGTTTCTTGTTGGAACTTGAGATTCTCTTGCTGAAATTGAAGAGAGCTAGTTACTAATGAGTTTACCGAGTCCTCCAAAGACTTACCTTGAGGTTGGGAAACATTTTGGGGTCTTGCTTGTTACGGTTGTGGAGCTCGTAGGTAAGGGAAACCAGGTGGATTATTAGTGACAGCAGCTTGTTGATTTTCTCCATAGCTAAGATTATGGTGATCCCTCCATCCTGGATTATAGGTATTGGAAAATGGATCATACCTTTGCCTTTGTTGTCCTTGGTATCCTCCCACGGCATTTACTTGTTCTGCATTTGTCTCTTGAAAGGTAGGACACATATCGGTAGGATGTCCTGCATTGGAGCAAATTCCACATGTCTTCACTTGTCCAATTGCAATTTGTTGCACAAGTGTAGTCAAATTATTCAATTGTTGCTCAAGATTATTGGATATTCCCACTTCATTTGCCTTCCTTGGTGGTGGATCGGATTGAGTACCAAATTGTTGAGAGTTTGCTGCCATGGTTGCAATTAAGTTCCTTGCTTCTGTAGGAGTTTTATCAACTAACGCTCCTTTACTTGCTGCATCTATCATGCTCCTCTCCATTGGCATCAATCCCTCATAAAAATATTGGAGAAGTAATTGCTCACTTATTTGATGATGCGGACAGCTTGCACACAATATCTTAAACCTTTCCCAATATTCATATAAGTTTTCCCCATTGTATTGCCGAATCCCACAAATTTCTTTCCTAATGAGTATGGCTTGAGATGCTGGAAAATACTTCTCCAGGAACAACCTCTTCATCTCATTCCAAGTAGTTATGGTCCCGGATGGTAGGTAATAAAGTCATTCCTTAGTGCTATCTGCTAAAGAAAATGGGAACGCCCTTAACTTCACTTGTTCCTCCATTGTTCCATTTGGTTTCATACTCGAGCACACCACATGGAACTCCTTAAGGTGCTTATTTGGATCCTCTCCCGCTAAAACTCTGAAAATTACTAGGAGATGAATCATCCCAGATTTAAGCTCAAAAGCTCCCCTTGCCGTATCATTGTATCGATGCATAAAGGTTGCTGGTCAACGGTTGGTGCAGCCATCTCTTTGATAGTTAGATTAGCCATCTCCTCTTGATCAGAAAAATCAGAAGAATCACTTGTGAGTGGAAGATCGGTATGGATTGCTTGATCGAGAGTTGATCTATGCAAAGGTTATTTTGAATGAGTAATAGGTTGATTTAGATCAGAATACGGATTTGATCTCAAACTATATCGCGAGCTCATTCACCAAAAACACCTACAACTCAAAAACAAAGAACAAATAAAATTGAAAAATAAACAAAAAGTAAACAAATAATTAAGTTAATAAAATCCCTGGCGACACGACGCCAAAAATTGATGCTTGCAAATGTAACACCTAATTTTACCTCTCTAAATTCTAATGCAAAGTCGTGTAGTAGCAAAGGGCAAGTAAGGGTCTTTCCCGCAGAGGATTTGTGAACTCAATTAATTATCTACTTCAAACGGGGTTTGTCACGAATTATAAAAACTCAACAAAAACTATCAAGCTAAAATTAAACAAAGTAAAACAATGAAACAATCACGAAAGAGATAAATAAGAGAAACTAGATTGAAGGTTTATTCGCCACCACTAGACATGAATTACATATAATAAAAGCACTCTTTAACTTCTACTCTCTTAATCACATCAGCTCAGAAAATACAAAACGTTGATAAGTTCTATCTCTCCTTACTGAGTCGTTGGATTAGACACGGTCATAACCCGGTTCCCTATTTATTAGATAACCTAGGATACAATCTCTAGATTCAAAGTAATAAAAGCATTAAGTTGTGAGAGACATATTGAATCAAGGCTAAACTCATATGGTCGGTTTAGTTATCTTGAGTGATTACCCCCCATGTATGCAGGCATACACTTTACCACTAGTTATTTAGGCTAATAAAGCGATTATGTACTAAACAACCTAAATTGGCATTAATAAATTAATCCTAACTATTTAATTGCACACTTAAACAATTAAGACAATCTATCTAAACACTATTCACAGAGAAATAATCACATAAGCAAGAGGGATCAAAAGATAAATAGATGCAAATTTTATTAATCACAAGACATGTCTAGGGTTTTGAAATCACCCTCTATCACAAAAGAATTAGTTCTTCATGAATAAATATGAGAACATCATTGTATTATTCATAACAAATAATAATAACAAAGAAGAAGAAATGAAGTTGATGATGATCTCCTCCAATTATTCTTCTCCAAGCCTTCTTTAATCTCCCTTTTTCTTCAGTTCTTGAATATCTTTGTTCTCTCTTTTTTTTTTATCTCTAAAAGAATTCCCCTTAAATAATGCTAAAAGACTTCTATTTATATCCCACAAGGGTTAGGGTTTTGTTTTCCTTAATTGTAGTTAGTTTAGGACTCTTAAAACCCTATTTTCCTAGTAAAAAACAGAGGAAAAGCTCCCAACTATCATGACTGTGCCGCGGCACTGTGCTGCGGCACAGTAGCTACTGGAAAGTGTCGTGGCACAGTAGCTATAAGTCTTCTTCCCGCATCATTCCACTGTTCTTCAGAGATGGTGATTTTTGAACTTGATAACGATGAAATTTGGAAAAGTGATAAACATATGCAATGTAGCCCTTTGAATCATCTTTCCAATGGTCCAAGAATCGTCTTAATACAAGTTCTAAAGGTCAAGAGATTCTCAAAATACTGAGGCATGCTCAAGCTAGAACATAATCTAGAATCTTCTCTTTACTTCAACTTCCATAACTTCTTCATTTCAACTCCGATTCTCGATCCATTTGTTTCTAGTTGTCACAAATTCTCTCGCCGATGTCATTTCTCATCCAAATATTATTTTTGAGCCTTATTCCTTGAAAACACAATAAAAATACCCCGTGATCCCGAAAAGTGCATTTATGAAACAATTAAGTTAATTCATGCGAATTAATCCTAATTTCCCACAAATGATACCTATAAACCACTAAGTGTAAGTGTATTTTCAAGCACTTATCACCATCCCTTAGCTTTATCCTTCAATGAAAACGGGAATATTCTCAATCTGATGGCATCATCTGACACTCTGTTTGACTTGAAAGTATCACAAATCTCCAAAAAATTGGCAATGTGTAGATTTGGATCTTCCTTCAAATCTCCCCTGAACTGTACCAATTGCTGAATCCTTTGGATGATTGCCAGCTTTATCTCAAAGTTGTTGGCTTATACTGCTGGTCTAGTAATGCTTGAACCACTGCCTTCAACTGTAGGAACTAAGAATTCCCTTAGTGTTCTATTTTCTGCCATCTCTACAACTATGACTTCTGGTTCAACTGTAGCCTCTCATTCTCTTCTCTCTCTGTTTAGTCTTCTAGTGGTTCTTTCAATTTCTGGATCAACAGGAATCACTGGCTAACGTCTTGCTCTTCACATAAACTACACAGAAAGAGACAAAAAGTGAGATCACAAGCCAACCAAAACGAATAACAAAAATTAAACTAACACACAATTAAGCAAAAATAAAGCTCTAATCTAGCTAACACAAGAAAAATTTATTGTTCACACAACTTAATCCCCGGCAACGACGCCAAAAACTTGATGCGTTGTAACTACAACATGCATAAATAGCAAGTGCACTAGTCGCACAAAGTAATAAAGTGATAAGTGAGTATCGTTCCCGCGAGGATTGATTGTTAAGCACTAAATTTCCTAATTGTTTTCAAGTTGGAGGAACCGAATGTGTTTGGATTAATGGGAGAGATTAAATCTAAAACTAAAACAAAACTTACTAAGTATTAAAAACTAATTAATGAAAGCAAGAATTAAAATGCAAGAATAATATAAATTTAACAAACGGTTAGGGTTTTGACTTCATTCGGACTCTATGGATGAATTCTATGGACTACGTTAATTCCACACTCACATGCATAGATTGTAAATCGAATTTTCTAAGTTGTCAAACATACTTTCTCAGGCTATGAATTCCTACTTTTCCCTATTAAACTTCCGCACCCAACAAATTGAAGAATAATAGATCTAAGTTCATTAAGCTAATGGAATCCTAGATTGATTTCATTGATTCTCAAATCTATCTCTAGCATTCAATACTACAATGGTGATTACCCAAGAAGCTCAACATGATTCATTTCTCAATCTCATCATATTCATCAAATAAATTCCATTAAAAACAGAATAACCACACAATCTATGCAATAGAATATAGAAATAGCAATAATCAATTCATTAACCCATAGAAATCTGAACCTAATCAAAACCCTAACCCAAAATGGGTTAGTTCATAACTAAATCAAAATACACAGCAAGAAAAACAGTAAACGTAACATTCAACATATTGAATTAAAGAGAAAAGAAAAGATATCTCCCCTAGTTGAAGAATCCATGAGGTTTAATCTCCAATCTTCTCACTTTCTTAACAAAAATGTCAAATCTATCCTAAGGAAAAATGAAAACTAGGCGAACTCCGACCACCCTTCTCAAAATGGTAAAGTTTTCCTTTTATAGTTCACCCAAAAACCTACAAATTTCCTAAAATAAAACTGTGCGTTTTGAAGAAAACAAAAATACGAAGACATCGTTGCGGCGAAGAAAGACTTTTGCCACGGCGACGAGGTAAGTTAGAATCTCGTGTTTCACTTCCTTCGCCGCGGCGAACCTTCATGAAGAATTTTGAAATTATAGAATTGCCCTCCACTTGCTTCTTTGCTTGAATCTTCGATCTCCGATGCTTTCTCATGGGAACAAGCTTCATAGTGCTTCAATCTACTTCAGAACTCCTCTAAATTCTAAAATCCGCTCACTTCTGGGTCTAGAAACTCCAATTCGCTCATTATTTGCTCAAAATGTCCATTTTGGCTTGAAACACAAAATGTAAAGAATTAAATAGCAATTCAGGAAAAATGAACTAAGAAGTATCTAAAACCCGGACAAAAAGCCTAATAAAAACAGTATAATTCTCAGATTATCATCTTTCAGGGCCAACTTTTGTTCCCTTCGCTCTTCAGCCTCTAGCATAGAGATGAGAATCTCTTGATACTCGTTAGTAAGGTTAGAGATATCCATTTCTAGA